CTCGTCCGCACTGAGCATATTATCATCCCACAATACATGATAGTGTGATGGACGGGATGTGCCCTATAACAATATGCATTTATATAAAAATACTCAAAATGCAACTTGAAACATAAGCACACGCTATTAAGTCACTGCACCTAGAAGGTTGCTTATTTGGGGGAGCTAAATGGCACTTCCAGTGTTTTCATTAATTATCAAAATTCGATTGTGTTCCTCTCCACCACGCTGGTGGGCCAGTAATGCCAAACAAACTGCATATGTTAACATATAGAAGATTTCAGGCCCCCGTACTCTTCCAATCTCTACGCCAGGAATATTCACAGTTTGTATCTTTAAAATTTCTACAACACTAGTCTTTTCATTCTGATGATTACTTAGAAGTAAGATATTGGCAAATTTGACTTCATCGCGTCATATGGCAGTACCAATTTACATCAAAACAATGAACGAATCGTAGAGGGATTGGTTTTCCCAATTGACACAGTTGGAACTCTGACCTCCTGCACCGACAACAATGCTACTTCCCAGCCCGTCATGCTTGTCAGCACTAATTTTGTATTTTTTACAAAAATGTGAGAAAATGGGTAGGCTAATATATGCTGCGTTACCCTAAAAACCCAAAAAGTCAAAACGCAAAAACAAAAAACAAACCTGGATTCCTGCATGTGAACAGAGGTAGAAATCGAATTCGGTTGGATGTGTTATACCAACATCAACAGTTGTACCAGGCGGAATATTAAATGCTTTTCCAACCTACAAAAAAAACCCAGCAATCATTAGAAGTAGAGAATGAAAAACCCGTGTGCCTACCCAGTTTAGCGATTATGAACCAGTTCGCCTTTTTTGTAATAAATTATAAATGTCTGCGTACAAAACTAGTTAATTTTTTTTTTGGCAAAAAATCTGAAGCTCCCAGTCCAAGCGGGTATTAATCTGCTCAAAACCATCCCCCTTATATACGTGAAAGCTACGCAGAGGCCTAATTAAAGTTTTTTTCGGGTGAATTACTAATAGCCAGTGAAGCAAGGAGGCTGAAATTTTGAGAGGACGTTCCCCATCCATGAATTGAATGATTTACCTGATCTTTTTTGTCAACAGCAAATAGACGAGTATGATGTCGCTTTTGTACAGCAATAAATGTTATGCCTGGCTGATAACCTTCCTCCAGCATCATGCACGATTCACGCATCGCTCGCAACTCATGTTGCAAAACCTAAAACGACAAAAGTATCAATTATGAAGACAAAAACAAACTTCTTGTTCATAAAGGCAAAGGAGATTAGGGAGCAGGAAAAGGTGTAAATTAAAACCCAGGCTGCAACGCACCACGCTTGTCGGTGCGATCATGTATATTTGCGCTAAACTTGCAGATCCCTAACAGAAGGAATAGTCCCTGCGTTGTAGTTTAACACCTGAAGTCATACTGGCTGTGTTTTGGCTCCTTTCTGCATGGCAAAGGTAAAGGCGTGGGCTGGGATGAAGGTGTTGCATTACGGGATCGCTGGACTTCCAGCTTGTATGATTACCAGCTTTTTGCATGAAGCCCGGACGTTCTTCCAGTGGATGTTTGCTCAACGAAAAAATGAAAAATTTGAAGTCGGAACAGGATTATGAAATCTGAAAAACACACCCGCTTCTCAGTATGAGAAAAATTGATTATCTGTCATGTCTGCGTGCGGGGGATTTCGCCTGCAAACTAAGACCACGCGCGCCAAAATTTCAGTCTCCCAGTTTTGCAGGTTGCTGAGTTGAAAGTGGGTGACAAAATCCACTCGCTCCCGAACACGGATGATCACAAGATATACGTTTTTACTCACTATAATAGCGCTATAGTGCCGCACACAAAAAGAGCATAAAAAATGAATTTAGAAAAACTGCATACGTTGAAGAACTGTCCTTCCGAAACTCCATCACGATAAACAATGATTCGTGTTGGTTTGAAATGTGTAGAACGATAAAACTGAACAAGAAGATCGCGCACCATAATTGTGAGGTCACTTATAATTTCCTAAAACAAAATAACTAGTCTGAGCAACAAATGTATTTCCGATACATAGTAAGACAGCAAACTTCGATTCCTTGACTTTTTATCATCACGGTTACTCGTGCCGACAATGTAACATTTCATGGACACCCAAAT